TCAATAGCAAAGCTTTGAAGAAAGAGTTTCCTATTACATAGCAACAAGCTAAGGAGATTATAAAGAGATGTCCTACTTGTGCTTTCTATAACCAAACACCACTACCTGCAGGGAGTAACACAAAGGGTACTCAAAGGAATAAAATCTGGCAGATGGATGTGTTCCACTTTGCAGATTTTGAAAAATATGTATACCACACCATTGACACTTATTCAGGTTTTCAATGGGCAACTGCTTTGAGCTCAGAAAGGCTGATTCAGTAATCATGCACTTATTAGAAGCTGTGGCCATCATAGGTATACCTGCTCAAATAAAGACAGATAATGGTCCAGTATCTGTCTCTAAGCAAGTGAAGCAGTTTTTCTTATTATAATATAAAGTATATTATAAGTATACCAAACAATCCTACAGGTCAGTCAGTTATAGAAAGGTCAAATCAAACTATAAAGGATATGTTTAAAACAAACAGAAAGGGGTGGAAAATACTGCCAGAAATAGATCACATAATGCTTTATTAACATTGAATTTTCTTAAAGCTAATGAGAAAGGAATACGAGCAGCAGAGAGACACTGGATAATAGAAAAATCTTCTGAATTAAATCAGCTGGTACATTTCAAGGATGTGTTGACCTCACAATAGAAACCAAGAGATATGCTACTTTGGGGAAGGGTTTTCACTTTTGTTTCCACAGGAGAAGAAAAGCTATGGATACCATCAAAGTTAATAAAGACTTGGTTTGAAAAAGAGAAATCTCTTGAGAAATAGAAATGACGGCTCACCCACAGAGGTGACAACCACACAGATGGTAAGGCTTCTAGGGTTGGGGCAGCGTTCTATTCTTGCCTTGCGGCAAAATACTCATCTTCAAAAAGTCAAGAGACCCTGGACATCTATATGTCTAAAGAGGAAAAGATAACTATCCAGATAGGATCGCCAAATAAAGAGAATTATAACTTATGAGGACAGGTCATCTGAGGGTAAGAATCACTGAACACACACACATATTCATATACATACACATATGTATATATGCTACTTACTATAATAATAGTCATGACTCGCTTGAAAAATCAATGCTGGTTTTAGAGTTGGAAAATGGCTCTGTCCTATTCTAGATACAAGCATGTTGTCAAAGGAAAAATTCAGAGTTTCTGTCTCATGTCAGGAGCCATCTGCTATGGGACAGAAAGAAGAAAGAATTTAGTAAAAAATTTTTACTTTTCTTCATACCTATTTTTATCTTGAAACTTAACCATCATTTTACTTTCACAGGATCCCATAGAAAGAACATCGCCCCCATGACAGCTAGAAACAATTCTAGAAGACAATGTCCCCTCTCCCAACAAAGTTTGTCCTCAGAGTTAGGGACATCAATTAGGTTTGATTATAATTGATATAGGGTTGGGGCTTGGGGTGGAAATTATGTAGGTCCGGGGATCTTTTTGAAAAGAAGTGGAAGGGGCTGGAGAGATGGCTCAGTGGTTAAGAGCACTGACTGCTCTTCTAAAGGTCCTGAGTTCAATTCCCGGCAACCACTTGGCTACTCACCACCACCTGTAATGAGATCTGGCATCCTCTTCTGGCCTGCAGGCACACATGCAGACAGAACACTGTATACATAATAAATAAATACAAAAAAAGAAAAAAGAGGGAAATGGATGGGATAATAGATTAGTGTGAGCTCACCCACACTAATAATAATGAGTAATAGAGTGAATACATGTGAGCCATTATTTATAGGCAACTTATATTGGTATAGATTCTTGTATATTGATCAAAACTTAAATTATAATGAATACGTATCTATTTTGTCTATAATATTTGTATACCTAGGCAAAGCTATTTTGTCATATTGTATGCATGCAAACTTCTACCTCTGCTTAAGACATTTTGTTTATTGATACAATTTTAGGATATGTTTGTCATATTGCAGTATGCATTTCTACCTCTGATCAAGATACTTATACATTGTTTACATTTTGAGATCATTGTTCTCATTTGTTTAAAGATTGTTTAATATTCTAATATGAATAATAAGTTATATAGGTATTAAGAATTATAGGTCTATATTCTTTCATGTTTGCCATACTTATAGTTAGACTAATCAGGTGCTTTAGATACATAGAGAGTGTATTCCACATAGATAGGTAATCTTCAACCACTTCAAAGAGCTGTAGAATATGGCATTTCAATAACTTAGGGTTTTGTTGATGTGAGACAATTTCTCCTGGCAGCACCGATCTATTCCCAAGAGAATGTTGAACACTGAAAACACTCCACTTGGAGCTTGTATTCTTCCTGGCAAAACTGGCGTTTTGGCAAGGAACTGTCCATGCATTGACCACTGACAAAATGCATGATTTCCAGAAAGGACAAGCAGGATACAAGAAAAAAGACTGTCAAAACTTTCCAAGACAGAGTAAGACGATTTTGAAAGTTTTCGTGCCTCTGAAAATGGTCTGTCATTTACTCTAGGCTTCATCCAAAGTTGGTTGCTCCAAGGTTGCAAATGAGACTTTGGGTGATTGCCTAGCTAACCAGTTGTCCCTGTCATTTATTGCACATTGTGGAAGTCCTTGATTGCTCTTCCTGCTTATTCAAGTAATATTATTTCCCTTCTCTGGAATCCATGGAGTTGAAGACTAGATAGTTGTAGTGACTTTCCTCTCATGACTTGGCCAGGTTATTTATAATACAAGACATAGGCTCCTTAGGATAGGATAATTATTGAAACATTTATCATATGTTTCTTGCTTGATATTTTTTATGCTGGTTGTAATTCTAATTTTTATACTTGATATTTCTTCTTATTTTATATAGCTTTTGTATTAGGCTCAGAATTCTCTTTTTTAAACAAAAGGGGGAGGTGCTGTAGGAAATCCTTCAGCCAGTAGCTTTTAGTTACCCGCCAACTTGGGCATGGTTTCTTATACCATAAATGCCCATGTAAAGCACGTGCTCGCTCTCTGTCTTCCAGCTGCTTTATTTGGTTATTGTTCCCTGTTCAAGCAGAGGACTGTGATCTGTGAGTCTATTCCTAAATAAATAACCCTTTGTTATACTCAATTCTGAGCTAGTGTGGGATTTCTTTTTTGCATCTCTTTTCATACCTCCCGAGTGCTGGGCTTTAAATGCGTGTGCCATATGCTCAGCCTGGCTACCTATTCTTATTAACTGAAGTATGTCAACCAGGATACAGGTTTTGTGCTTAAAATCTCATCCCGAGAGAGGCTCCTGGCTCCACTGGGATCCCGAACACTCAGTATAGTCAGCATCTGGCTAGTTGACTGTGGAGGATGAAGGATGGAAATAGGTGTCAGCTATGCTTCCACGTGTCCTCAGCTAGGCTGCGCTTGATATGTTCTTCAGCAGGAAGTACTCAGAAGTTCCTATTCCTCTTGTTGCTGCTGCTGTTGCTGTTTTGAGGCAGGGTCTCACACATCCTGGGATACAGGCAATGATGTCTTTGAATTTCTGATCCTCCTGGCTCAACCTCTCAAGTGTGGGATTACAAGTTTGTGCTGATGTGCCCATCATGCCCAGGTTTCTGCAGTACCAAGGATGGAACCCTGGGCTTTGTGCATGACAGGGAGAGCAACTGCCAACGGGGCCCCACTCCCAACTCCCCAGGGCTCTTTCCAGGACAAAGTGCTTATCTGAAGGAGAAGTGTGCTTGGGGTAATTGCATTCTATTTTGTTTGTCATCTGAGACAGGGTCTCACACTGTAGCCCTGGCTGTCCTGGAACTGGCTATATAGACCAGGCTGGCCTTGAAATAAACAAGATCCATCTGCCTCTGTCTCCCAAGTGCTGGGATTAAAGGCACGTACCACCACATCCGGTCAGTAGTTACATGCTTAATGTCCCCGCTTGAGGACATGTGTAGAGGTCTTGGAGGACATTTCACTCTGACCAGGGGGTAGATGAAACACCTCCACCCCACAGCCCAGGTCCACATCTGCAACCTGCAAAGAGAGCTGCAAAGAGGGCTGCATTTCCCTAGGAGGATTCCCGGCTGCCCTTCACTGTTGTCCAATATTAAAGCACATTATCAGCCTATGTTGACTTTGTCCCTTCCTATCCTTGTCCCTTAGCTGTTTGGCCACACAGGATTTCCTAACTCTCTATTGAGAGCTGCAGTTTCTCAGAAAAGTAAGAGGGAACAAACTGTCATCTTTCTATTTTGTTTGATTTGTGTCACTGTGCCGTCATTATTTTCCTGCCCTGTCCCCTGGTTACAAATGCCCTACAGAGAATTTTTTAAAAGAGGTTTTTCCCTATGCACATTTGTCCGTGTCTGGGTATGCCATGGTGTGTGGGTGACTTCCGAGGCCGTGTGGAGTTACTGGCAGGTGTGAGCTCCTGATATGGCGCTGAGAAGATGCTGAGAAGATGGTTCTCTGGGAGATAAATAAGTGCTCTTACTGCTGAGCCATTTCTCCAGCTACCTCCAACCCCAAGTAGACGTGTGTGTGTGTGTGTGTGTGTGTGTGTGTGTGTGTGTGTGTGTGAGTGTGTGTACAGAGGGTCTCTCGTGTCCCAGGCTGGCTTCCAAACAAATTTAGTAACAGATGGCCTTGAACTCCTGATCCTACTTCCTTTGTGAGCTAAGATGAGAGACAGGCAGTGAGCAGGGACAGCAGCTGTGAGCAGTGTTGTGAAGATCTGTAGCTCTCTCTCACTGGGTGTGAAGAGGTTGGCTGCAGAGCGGGCAGGGGCTCCAGGAATGGGGCCTGGGGTCACACCAGGAGGCTCTGACTGCAGTTTGGATGCCACTGTTCCTGGGTTGACTTCCCACCCCCAAGCCTGGCCATCTGACAGAACTCCTCCCTCTCTGAAGGAGATTTGGAGCCTGTGCAGCTAAGTCCTGCAAACCAGCCATTTCCAGGAATTGAAACTGAAAGCTGCTCCGTCAGGGGCCCCCTCCCACGTGGGAGGCAGGCAGGGCTCATACCTACAAGTGAGGAGTTGGAGCATGATCCAGAGTTTGCAGGGGTCTGAGGAAATCCAGGAGCTCAGGCTGCCCTTCAGGTGCTCCAGCTCCTGTACTCGCTCTTCCCCAGAGGTCTCCTCTCCTCTATTCTCTCCCTTCTGAACATTCTGGACTAGATTCCAGTTTTCTAAGGCTTCTGAGCAGGTAGGTGAGAGACTCCTAAGTGCAGCTTGGGTTATAAATTGCTCAGGGCAGGCTGCTGGGGTCTGGTGATCCTCTTGGGGATCCTGAGCAGCAGGCCCTGCCCTGACTATCTTCAGGACCAGAGATCCTGATGTTTTGGTTGAGTCGAGTCCTTCCATCCCACCAGCCTTTTTTATCTGCCTATCCCTGGCTTTGTGGGTCTTCTGAAGGGACCTAGTTTAGAGAAAGCAGGTGGGCTTTTGTTCTGTCTCTCAGCCTCTGGCTGAGTCCTGGATCAGAACTTCCCCCTGGCACGATGGGGTTGTCCCAGGATTGGTTCTTATTCAGAGCACACGGAGACTGAGACTTGGAGCAGTGAGGTTCTAAGTAAACTCTTGTTTGGTATAGCTCAGTTCAATATTTTAAGAACAAATTATTTAGTGGTCGTCTGTGTGTATCTGTTTGCTTGTGAAGGTCAGGGGACAATTTGTGGGGTTGGTTTTTTCTACAATTGATCTCAGGGTAAGGCTTGTCTGAAGGCTTCATGGGAAGTATGTTTGTTTACTTGCTAAGTGATCTCACTGGCCCTTTTAGGACAAGCAAACCAAAAACAAACTATCAAAAAAATCAAAACAGGGTAAACCACAACAACAACAACAACAAAAACCAGGTCAAGTATTTCATCTGCATTGGAGAAACAGACCCCCCAGACACCATCCTTCATGGAGCTTTAGAGTGTCCATATTGTTGGGTAATTTAAATCATACCACCTTCCCAGAGCTTGTATGCTGGGACCAACGCCATTCCCAACATCCTTGGGGTGGATCACATTTTCCTGGAATACACAGCACCTAGAAATTCCCTGTGTCCCCTACTAGTAAAGGCAGGAAGAACAAAGTGGGGGTGGAGGTCCAACAGGATTTGTGTTCACACAAGTTCTTCACAGCTCAGAACCATAGCTAGTGTAGGCTGGTTCCCACAGCTCTGGAAGCGCCACTGAGGGAGGCTCAAGGTCACTGGTACCAGAAGGAACTAAAGGTGGTCCTGTTTGGGCAATCTTTTCAAGTGGTGATTTTTCAGTATACATATAATTTAGCTGGGTGAGGTGGATCCCACTCCTGGTCATAGCACTTGGGAAGAGGGGCAGAAGATTCAGTTCAAAGTTACACAGTGAGTTTTATACCAGCATGGGCTTTAGTAGACAGTGATTTACATTTTAAGATGTATACTTTTTATTAGTCTATAATAGTGGGCTAGTGAGGGGGCTGAATGGGTAAAAGTGATCGCTACCTGAGCTTGATCTCCATTACCCCCATGGGAGGAGAGAACTGTTGGCCACAAGGGTCCTCTAACTTACCTGTGCGTCTGGCACACCTTCAACACAAGAAATCAATAAATGCAACAACGGAAATATGCTCTGTAAAATAGCAGGATGTGCTATGGCATTTTCACATGTGGATGAGGAGAGCCTTCATTATCGTCCTCGGCTGTGTCAAAATTCCTGACAGAAGGCAGGTTAAGGGAGAAGGGCTTGTTTTGGATCCTGGTCAGAGAGGGTACAGCCCAGCAGGGCAGGGAAGGTGTGGCCACAGGGGTGTGAGCCAGGAGGGCCTGTTCCTCATCCCCCTGGACTTTTGTCTAAGCCATGTGCCCAGGGGAAAACCAGAGACACTAGAGGCATAAATTGAGCTGCACTCTCAAATAGGTTAGCCTGGGCCATTTGAACTCCTGGCTGAACACTGATGGGCTGGCTCTAGGCAATGCCTTGTCAGGGTCTGAGCAGTGGTTTTTGCAGCAGTCCACTGGAAGCCTCTCCAGGACTCCTGCTGGTGTATTGAGTCCCAGGAGTGAGAAAAGTAACTACTCCAGTAATCTGCAGAGAACTAGGGACCTAGGAAGTTGTCCACAATTCACCAAGCCTGATGCTTTGGGGACTCAGGAGGAGGTGTCAGCCTGCCCTATGTGGAGCCTGCAGCCAGCTCCTTGGGCTGACATAGTGTGGCTAGCAGAGCTGTGCTGCAGGCATTACAGTCCTTCTCTGAAGATGAGCAAGGGAGGCAGAGGATGCTGCCACTGGGAAACAGAGCAAAAACCAGTACCAAAGACTTAAGGGTGCCTGAGAAGCCCCTTGCACAGTCGAGAGCCCTGGATATCTAGGGTGCACATTTGGGCACAATTCTAGCCCATTCACAGGACCCAAGAGTAAGTCTGGCAGGGACCTCTCTCTCTCTCTTCCCCTCTCCTTCCCTCTCCCAATCCCTCCCTTTTCCTTTCTTTCTTTTTTCCTTCCTTCCTTCCTTCTTTCCTTCCTTCTTTCTTAAGACAGGGTTTCTTTTTGTAGTGTTGGCTACCTGGCTGGCAGAGCGCTCCTTAATGGACAGAGGAAGTATGTGAGACTGACAGGAAATCTCTCAAATATGTGGTGCTGAGTTTCAGATGCTTTTAGTTTTATACACACAAACAAAAAAATAAAACTTCAAGGGTAACAGCAACTTCAATGACTCATAACCGTGGGATTGCACACGCCTGACCCAGCTAGGGCTTTCAGCTGAGAACTGTGGGATAAGGTATATGCTGCCGTCTAGCATCTTGAGATTTGGTGTGGCACTGAAAAGTGGTTGGAGTCCTGACCGCACACTGATATGTCCCAGCGTCCACTTCAGAAGGCGAACACTCTAGTGCTTCCTGTGCCGTGTATGGGTGTTTGCATTCCACATCCTCCATCTTTTAAAAACAGTTATTATTATTCTTGTTTTTTAGAAAGTTTATCACTCTGTAGACCTCACTGTTTAACCTGGAAGCCACAGATATTCTCTTGCCTCTGTCTCTTTGTGCTGGGATTAAAGTGTGTACCACCGTGCACAGTTTCTTATTGTTTTAAATTTTGTGTACATGTGTCTGTGTGGAGTATAGGCACATTTGTACAGTGCCCCCAGGAGACCCAAAGAGGGTGTCAGATATCTGGAGCTGGAGTTACAGGAGGTTGTGAGTCACCTGATATGGATGCTGGGAATTGAAGTCAGGTCCTATGGAAGAGCAGTAAGTGCTCTTAACCTGAGTCGTCTCTCCAGCCCCCACACCCTCCATCCTTGATGTTGAAAGGTTATCCTTCCCAATCCTGCCCCACAAAATACTTTCAGTGTCTTGGTAAGGACTTTGGCAGGAACAGAAATATGATTGATATCCTATCAAAGTGAGACATCAGTATCTCTCTATCAGCTCTCGCCCAGGGCTCAAGGAATCTCAGGAGACGTGAGAAGCATGAAAACACTGTAGGAAGTAGCTGGGCAATGGTGGCACATGCCTTTAGTCCCAGCACTCGGGAGGCAGAGGCAGGAGGATCTCTGTGAGTTCAAGGCCAGCCTGGTGTGCAGAGCGAGTTTCAGGACAGGTTCCAAAGCTGCACACACAGAAAAGCCCCTGTCTCTTTCCCAAACAAACAAACAAACAAACAAACCTGTAGGATGTGTGTGTGTGTGTGTGTGAGAGTGTGTATAATGCTGACTTCTGGACACGGCGTGCCTGTTACACTTTTGAACCTATTGCAGCCATGGTTACTTGTAAAAGATCACCACACAACTGGGCCCTTTGACATCTTGTCATAGAAACAGAAGGATAAGGTGAGACCATAGTCCTCCCTGAGGATTTGGACACACCAAATGGGTGGTGAAGGAAGAAGGGACGTTTTCTTCAGGTCTGCAGCCACTGAGAAGATGCATGTGCTGCTGTAAGCCAATTCTCACTCCTGCTTTGTAATCAGTCAAAGGAAACACACTGGGCCACAGGAGAAAAACACCCACAGATATCTAAAAACCAACTATGAGAGTAGAAGAGGAACAGGCTGGGAAGAGGAGAGACATCCCTGGGACCAGGAGGAAGGCTCGAAAGGTTCCCAGGTGAAGGAGAATATAATAAAACACATGGTGCTCGTGTGTGCAAATGTCATAATAATACCCAGTGCATAGTACTAATCTATACCAAAAATGCTGAGTGTGTTGGCACATATCTTTACTCGCAGAAAGGTAGAGGTAGAAAGATCTCTGAGTGTGAGGCTAGCCTGGTCTACAGAAGTTGTTCCAGGTCAGCTAGGGCTACACAGAGAAATCCTGACTCGAAACAAAAACAAACACAAAATATATATGCTAATAAAAACATTAAAGCCTGTTCACAGAAGAATTTCAATCTCTGTTAATAAAAATAGCAGCAGTGGTAACAGACAACCCATATTCTCACTTAAAATTGGTGGAATTTTTATATATTTATTAAATATTTAATTTTATGTGTATGTGTGCCTGAATGTCTGTATGTACACATGTGCATACGTGTACTCTTGGAGTCGAGAAGTGGGCTGTGGAATTCCTGGATTCGGAGTTACAGGTGGTTGTGAGCCACCATGTGGGTGTGGGAACCAAGCCCAGGTCCTCTGCAAGAACAGTCAGTGCTCTTAACCACTGAGCCGTCTCTTCAGCCCCGAATGAGATGATCTGGAGACCATGAGGCTTTGCTGTTGAGCCTGGTGTGTAGTAGTGCATTGGTTGTGCCTCTACCACTGGCCGCCCCTGGGAAAAGGAAAAGCACGTTTCTGAGTGCAACAGCAACAAAAAGCCACGGATGTAGGATGAGAGAATGAAGACTTGTGGGTCCTCCAGGCAGGGAGCTGGCACAGGCTGTTCCCTGCTCTGAACGCATGTCTTCGGTAGTCCTGGCAACCGGGAAGGGGTGCGTATGGACATTTGTACCCAAAAGAGAACTGCCTGGCATTCCAGTGCTTAGCTTTGGGGTTCAGTGTTGCAGTAACAGCTACAGAGCTATCCTCGCTGTCAAAGAAATGTGCTCATGGACAAGAGGGCTCAGCCTGCTCTGTAGTCAGCAGGTCGTGGTGTAGGATTCTCTGTGGATGCGAAAGCCTGGACGAAGAACAGTGTTTCCTGTAGGTACCCATGTTCACAGCCATCCTTAATTCCCTTCCTAATGTATCTGCAGGTTGCTCCATTGTTCACCAACATGGAAGAGGCAGCTGGATCCCCTGAGGATAAAGAATTTACAGGCTTATCAAATGCTATAGCCATTAACAAAGAAAAAGGTGATTTATCTGTGAAAGCTGTCAAGAATATGGAGACTGCTGTGGAAAAAGGGAATTGGGTAGATGTCGTCTCTGCAGTCAAGGAGATCAAACAGGAAGCATCAAGAAAAACAGTGAAAATTGCTGTAACTGGGAACTCCAGGAATGGCATGTCATCCTTCATCAATGCTCTTAGGGAGATTGGACATGAGGAAGAGGATTCAGCTCCCACTGGGGAGGTGAGGAGCACACAGAAACCAGCCCTATACTCCTCCTCCAAGTTTCCCAATGTGGATCTGTGGGACCTGCCTGGCACAGGGGTCACATCCCAGAGCATGGAGAACTACCTGGAGGAGATGGACTTCAACAAATATGACCTGATCATCATCATCGCTTCTGAGCAGTTCAGTTCGAATCATGTGAAGCTGGCCAAAGCCATGCAGAGCATGAGAAGGAGGTTCTATGTCGTCTGGACAAAGCTGGACAGGGACCTCAGCACAAGTGCCCTCCCAGAACCCCAGCTACGGCAGAACATCCAAAAGAACATCCAGGAAAACCTCCAGAAGGAGGGGGTGGAGGAGCCCCCCATATTCCTAGTATCCAACTTTAGTCCTGATTCTCTCGATTTCATTAAGCTTAGAATAACACTGACAGAAGACCTCCATAGCATCAGGTATCATGGTCTCTTCGTAACCCTTTTCCAAGTCTGTGAGGAGATTATTAGTAAGAAAGTGGAATTCATTAAAGGGATCATAAAGGAGAATAATTTACAGGAAGGTTTAGGAATCTCGGATCCAAATAATCTGGTAGAGTGTCAGAAAGTCTTCCAAGAAAACTTTGGTGTGGATGACAAATCTCTCCACCAGGTGGCTCTGACTATGAATCAGCCGGATACTTATTTCACAGATGCAATGGAGTCCCAGGTTATACAGAGGCACCAACAAGATGGCTCGACACTGTCTGTGCCGCACCAGTTGTCCGTTCGAGTTCTTAACTTTGTCCTTTGCTATTTTGACTCAAAACACAGGCAACAGGCACATGTACTTGATGAAGCTGCTGAGAAAACCAAGAAAATTCTGCATAAAATCTTGAAGGAAACTCTCCTTCCTTAGGAAGGGCAGGCTAACCAAGGTTCTCTCCCCAGCTTTCTACCCGACATCTACCCCCAGTTGAATTTAATTGCTGTATGGGTATCAAGTTCCTTGAGGCTAATAGGCCGACTTTCTTGATGGGCGTCCCCCTCAGGAAACAGCGCCATGGGTTTTGCTTTTTACCATTTATTTAATTTTATTTTAATTGAACTGTCTGGGATTCCAATTTAGGAGACATTTCCTTTTTCGAATTGCCCAGAATTTCACGTCTGACACATGGTCACCTTGGCACCTATGACTGATATAGTTTCTCTTAGAGGCCTCTTAATTTTTGCTCCTGTCTTTCCTCTCTCTATTATTCCCTCTCGTGCGAGGTGGAGCATCCTTCGGGAATGAGGAAGCACTTGTTCCTGCCCACTGTCTGAAAACATGGCTAGTAGAGGCCTGTTCTCTGACCTGTCCTCGGATGTGTAAAGAGAGGGGATTTAACTCTGTACCACTGGTCACGGGATTCACAAAGCGCTGACTGGAAGACTTCTAGGTCCCCCACACTACCCCTAGTGGTGCCATGAATGTCATGGCCCCTCACACTTCGCACCCACAATCTCCTATTGGATCTGAACTTCTTCATTTTTCCCTAACTCTCCAGGTCAAACCCCTATCAAAATAGACCCTTCTCCCTTCCTCAGCTTTCCCATTTCGCTCAGTTGTGTGTGTTTGTGTTTATTTAAGACAGACGCTTCTCCGTGTGCTGTTACATCTTTTTTCTCATTCCCCCTCTCAATGGATGTCAGTGTGCTGTGTAGGGCCCAGTCCAACCATTCAAACAATAGGCCTGAGTTTCAGTTTACCCTAAAGCAATACCTTTTTTGGGGAAAGATCACAAACTGAGACCACTCAGGCACCACCCAGTTATGGACCATCCAAGGACAAAAGAAATATCTAATGTTCTAACCATTGTAGACGTAGATTCCAACATCACCAGATGTCCTTTGCCCAGCACACACCCATCCCCTTTCACCAAGACACCCATAGACAAATGTCAGCCAATCAGGGTTCCTGAACCTTAGGAATCCCCTCACCTCAACCTCTGCTAGGCTAAGAACCCCACCCAAACTGGGTTTTTTTGACTCACTGTGTTGTTGGATAGGTGGAGGGTTCAAGCTGGAGCCTGAATCAAGGCTCTTTGCTTTTGCATATTAGTGCAGATTCTGTGGTGATTTGGGGGACCCTGTGATCCGGGCATAACACTGTCAGCCCTGTGTCCTCCACTTCTTTCTTTTCAGAACACTAAATACTTTCCTCCTTTCAGTTACTCCAAGGTCACATCCCCGCGTGCCTGCTCCGTGCCACTTGTGCCGGGAAGCGGTTATTTTTGCCTGGTAGTTTTCCAGTACAGCCCATGATAGATGAAAGACAATCATCACAATAGGAGCATAGGGCAGCTGGTCACATTGTCTATACAGTTGGGCAGGAGGCAGGGAGGGAGGGAGGGAAGGGGGGGGGGAGAGAGAGAGAGAGAGAGAGAGAGAGAGAGAGAGTGAGAAAGCTCCTTGTCTCATGTTCTTATTTTCACTCAGCCCAAGGCCTCAGTCCATAGAACGATACCATCCATGTTCAGAGTGGGTCTTCCAACCACAGTGAGTCAAGTTTAGAAACTTTCTCACGGAAATTCCATAGTTATTCTAGATACTGACAATTGGACATTCAATATTAACTTTATAGTTACAGTGATAATGAAAGACCCCCAGTGTAGGGTGACTCTCACTCAAGTCTCGGGATAACATGACACCTCCAGTAACTCACGAGAGACTGTCCCTGCTGCAATCACATGAGATTTATTGACAGGACAGGAGCCAGTGCACTGGGACTGAGACTCAAAACCCACGGAGGGGAGGAGTTTGACCCTGAGTACCTGGGAGAAGGGGTATTTAAGGGAAGAAACCATAACCCATTAATACAGTGGGGGTAGGGAGGGTGTCATTGAAAAATTCTGAAAATACCAGTGATCATTGAAAATTCTGAAAATACCAGTGATAATAACAAGGGGGTCATTGTTTCTCAAAATTATTCTCAAGATTACAATCTAACTTTGTCTTCACCTAGTTCCTGAAACAGAGTCACTGAACTGGCTAATCTAGATTTTTTGGCTCTTCTCTTCCTGCTAGAGGGGTCTGTATTTATCCAGGTCTTCCAATAGCAAAGGGGAATATTGGAGTTTTATTGGTTAATACTGGGAAGCCCCATGGATGGAGGCTCAAGGGCACTGGATGCAGAAGGAACTGCACACAGTCCTGTCTGGGCAATCTTTTCATATGGTGATTTTTCAGTATACATATAATTTAGCTGGGTGAGGTGGATCCCACTCCTGGTCATAGCACTTGGGAAGAGGGGCAGAAGATTCAGTTCAAAGTTATACAGTGAGTTTTATACCAGCACGGGCTTTAGTAGACAGTGATTTACATTTTAAGATGTATACTTTTTATTAGTCTATAATAGTGGGCTAGTGAGGGGGCTGAATGGGTAAAAGTGATTGCTACCTGAGCTTGATCTCCTTTACCCCCATGGGAGGAGAGAACTGTTGGCCACAAGGGTCCTCTAACTTACCTGTGCGTCTGGCACACCTTCAACACAAGCAATCAATAAATGCAACAACGGAAATATGCTCTGTAAAATAGCAGGATGTGCTATGGCATTTTCACATGTGGATGAGGAGAGCCTTTATTATCGTCCTCGGCTGTGTCAAAATTCCTGACAGAAGGCAGGTTAAGGGAGAAGGGCTTGTTTTGGATCCTGGTCAGAGAGGGTACAGCCCAGCAGGGCAGGGAAGGTGTGGCCACAGGGGTGTGAGCCAGGAGGGCCTGTTCCTCATCCCCCTGGACTTTTGTCTAAGCCATGTGCCCAGGAGCAAACCAGAGACACTAGAGGCATAAATTGAACTGCACCCTCAAATAGGTTAGCCTGGGCCATTTGAACTCCTGGCTGAACACTGATGGGCTGGCTCTAGGCAATGCCTTGTCAGGGTCTGAGCAGTGGTTTTTGCAGCAGTCCACTGGAAGCCTCTCCAGGACTCCTGCTGGTATTGAGTCCCAGGAGTGAGAAAAGTAACTACTCCAGTAATCTGCAGAGAACTAGGGACCTAGGAAGTTGTCCACAATTCACCAAGCCTGATGCTTTGGGGACTCAGGAGGAGGTGTCAGCCTGCCCTATGTGGAGCCTGCAGCCAGCTCCTTGGGCTGACATAGTGTGGCTAGCAGAGCTGTGCTGCAGGCATTACAGTCCTTCTCTGAAGATGAGCAAGGGAGGCAGAGGATGCTGCCACTGGGAAACAGAGCAAAAACCAGTACCAAAGACTTAAGGGTGCCTGAGAAGCCCCTTGCACAGTCGAGAGCCCTGGATATCTAGGGTGCACATTTGGGCACAATTCTAGTCCATTCACAGGACCCAAGAGTAAGTCTGGCAGGGACCTCTCTCTCTCTCTCTCTCTCTCTCTCTCTCCCTCCCTCCCTCCCTCCCTCCTTCCCTTCCCCTTCCTTTCTTCCTTTCTTCCTTTCTTTCTTCCTTCCTTCCTTCCTTCCTTCTTTCCTTCCTTCTCAAGGCAGGGTTTTTTTTTTTTTGTAGTTCTGGCTACCCTGAAACTTACTCTATAGACCTGCCTGTCTCCGCCTCTCGAGTCCTGGGATTAAAGGCGTGCTCTGCCAACACCACCACCTTGCTGGCAGAGAGACTATTAAAGGACAGAGGAAGTACGTGAGACTGACAGGTAACCTCTCAAATATGTGGTGTTGAGTTTCAAATGCTTTTAGTTTCACACACACAAACAAGAAAATAAAACTTCAAGGGTAAGAGCCACATCAATCACTCATAACTGTGGAATTGCACACACCTGACCCAGCTAGGGCTTTCAGCTAAGAACCGTGGGATAAGGTGTATGCTGCTGTCTAGCGTCTTGAGATTTGGTGTGGCACTGAGAAGTGGTTGTAGTCCTGTCTGCACACTGATATATCCCAGCGTCCACTCCAGAAGGCCAACGCTCTAGTGCTTTCTTGTGCCTTGCATGGGTTTATGTATTCCACATCATTCATCTTTTTGTATTCCTAGTATTCAACTTTAGTCCTTCTTTTCATGACTTCCTGAACCTTAGAGACAAACTGAGAAGAGACATCTCCAACATCAGGTATGCAGATTCCTTAGAGACTCTTTCTGGAATCTGAGACAGGAGCATCAGCGAGAAGGCGTTGTCCCTGAAGAATAGCATGCTCACAAGACCCCAAGAGACAGCCGTGAGCCGCATGTGTGATACTGCTGACCTCCAGGAGAGTTTTGAAAACTACCAGAAGCTCTTTGGTGTGGATGATGGGTCCCTTCAGCAGGTGGCTCTGGACAGGGACAGGGACACTGCAGATGGGCTGCATGGCCATGAAGTTCCAGGAGTTGCACATGAAGGACTGAAGGCTGAGACTCATGATGAGTTTTCCTCTGTGCATGTTCCTCAAGTGTCTTGAAATCTCGTGGTGGTATGGCTTGTGGAACTTTTTTACCTGTGGCTTAAGACTCTGGAGACAGCTCCTCATCATTGAAATACTTGCGCAGAACGCCAAGACTGTCTGGAGGAGTGTCCTAAAGGATAATACCCACCTTACCGAAGTCCTTTGAGGAGTGTCTAACTAAACCTCAAGTGAAATTCAGGCAGCCTCAGGGTCTTCTTTTTGCTTAAGAACCTAGCTATTTTCTAGAAATGAAGAACAATAGCAACATGTTGTAATAAGTCTTAATATCATTAGAGGAGGTAAGAAAATCGCTCATCTTCCCAACTCTAATACCCCGTTCCTTGGAAGAGCAAGTGCCCACCAAAATCATCAGCCACACTTTCCTAGCTCAGCACTTAGCACTGATGCTTCCAGTTTCATTTTCCTGCATGTGTCCATCAAATGGTGTTCCTCCTAAACCATTAAAGTTGTCTTCATCAAAACTGCTTCTATATCTTTCCCTAGATAACCCGGTGGTGACTCAACTGGCCCAAGATGCTCTTATAGACTTGGAGGGTGGAGAGGGAGGTGGAAACAGTCCCTGCAAATCTACTGTGTGTTTGGGCAGTGTTGCACATGGGAGCACATGTGTGTGGTTGCATGCACACCACAAAACATGGAGTCCGTGTTCATTTTCTACATTATAGGTTCTGGAGACTTAATTCAAGTGGTCAGGATTGGTGGCAATCACCTTAATCTTCTGAGCCCTATCGATGGCCTGCTGAGGATGTCTTTGTTCCTGGACAAACATGTGATCAGTGTTCAAAGAAATCACAAGGGTGCTGAGTCAGCCCTGTGTCAGAACAAGGAAGAGTGGCTTCCTCAAGGCCTAGACAACAAAGTCTGTCTATATCTCTTGTGTTATAACAAAGTCTATGAACTTAGGCAGTATAAAAGGAAATCTAGTTCATTAACTCATAGTTCTGGAGCATGAGGAACCCCTGTGTGAAGCATCTGGTGAGGTCATCACAAGGGCAGGAGCTCATGTAGAAGAGAATAGAGCACAAAAGATCCAGGTGCCAGGCTCCTTTTGTCCTTCAAAGGCCCATTCTTTTTTTTTTTTTTTAATTAATCCAGTCTAAAGGAGAAACAGAGCCACCAGGCAGTGGTGGCTCACATTTTTTTTAAATTTATTTATTTATTATGTATACAATATTCT